TCTTAGAGAAAGTTTGTGTATAATTAAATCTAATAGAATATGAATTTTGCCTATAGCCCTTTTTGGAACACAACACACACATTTGCTTATGTGAAGCTCTCTGAAGTACTTGACCTTTTAGAGCATCAGTAATTACCTATCAAATAACATTTTGCTGAAGTGAGAATTTGACTTTCATACCCTATTTTTCCAAAATTGTCGTTTTTTATTTGGGATATAGGAAAGTACAGGTTTTACTTCAACTCTGAAACCCTAAATAACAGTAGAGGTACATTTTTATAAGACACATTTTATATGAATGTTAGTTGCACTTATAAGACTGAGTTTTCCATCTGAATTGCCATATGTAAGTTTATTTCTTAGCTTCTCTCCATTCCTTCTTACTCCCCTTTCAGGCTCCATGCAGTGGAGAAAGTGGGACACGATCTCACAGTTCTACAGCATCCTTTAAATCAGTACAACGAAGTATGCCTTGCAGTTTTCGAAGCCTTCTATTTACACTGTACTTAAAGATAACTAGCTGACAGGAACAATTTAAAAATAGCAGACCATGGACAGGTGACAAAATGTCATGCCGGCAGCACCAGACTGCATTAACAAAAATCACCAGATGTCACACACTTGATTCTATTTTCACAGCTGATTAAACAACAGTATTTGTTGAAAGGGAAAAAAAAGAAATGGCCTAATCTGAAGCTAGCTTAAGGAAGCCATACATTGTTTTACAAAAATATATACTTATTTGTAGAAAAAGTTCAATTATATGTAGGTAACCAATTCTGATGGGTCTGCTATGGACCCAGAATTTCTTTTACAATCTTTTGTTGATAGCTTTGATACAGAGACAAGTTACAGTCACAAAGGCCAACAGAATTACGAAGAATATCAGGAAAGGTAAAAAGGGTAGTGTTATATTGATCTACAAAACACTGCAAAGACTCTTGTTTGGCTGCATCTTAATAAAGACTGGGCTGGAACTAATCAGTGTGGAATAAAAGATCCAAAACCCAAATCCACTCCGACTCATAGCAGTCCTAGATAGGGTTTCTGAGGCTGTACATTTATGTAGTAGCAGACAGCCTCATCTTTGCCCCCTCGGGTGGTGGTTGACATCCACCAGCCACCCTGCCTTGTACTGAGAGGGACATTTAAGTTTGGGAAGACGAGCCATTCCTGACCATACAAATACTATTGATTGATGTGGTAGTTATAACCTATGTAACTCCTTTATCTTAAATATTATAGACATAATATAAAAGAACTTGAATGAAGATAAACTACATGTGAATTTCCTTGGGTTACCGTTTATTACTCTAGTATGTTTTAAGAGGATTCCTAATGTTTTAGGAATTATACCGTCTTTTGAATGAGACTTTGTATATGCCATTTCCTTACATTCTGATGGGCAGTGATTTTGAACTGTTGATGGCTTTCTAGGTCGATTTTCTGACTATTTACTGTTAAGCTTATATGCTCTAGAATATAATAAAAGTTGGTTAAGAGCAAGTCACATCTAATTTTTATGCATATAGTACTGGTGATAATGAGCCCAGATAAGTCTCAATTATTTAAAAGTAATGAAGGAGAGAACATTGATATAGCTAATTCAAACAATGTAATTTCTCTCAGCTGAGCTAAGATTTTATTCAGATGACAAACTTTTCAGTAGCAAGTTTCTATAAGCGCGATGATAGCAGATAGCACTCATTATATATGGTGTAGACTATAATCTTAAGGAACTCTATAAATATTACTTAGGAGCTAAACAAATAAAAAGCACCTAGAAAATTACATATATAGATACATTGTTGTTAAACAGTGATGGAGTTTTTGAAACTTCTAATAATTGGATTCTAGTAAATATGAAAATATATGAGATGTGTAAAATTAAAATAGGCCATTTCTTTGCTTAGGAGAGAATTCTTTAGTAATATGATGATTTTCTATTGAAAATATATGCTAAAAAGTTTTACTGTATTACAAATACTGCAGAATGATTTTCATAAAACTGCAGGTAGGTATACTATTTTCTAATGAGGCTTAAAATTATAAACACTAATTTTTAAAAAATCCCTTCATGGTAAAATTAGACCAATTTCATCAGAATTTATAAGATCATTTCCCCCCCGATTTAAAAATACAACCCAAACCCCAAAATAAAAATTACCTTATACTTTTCAGGATTGTGTTTTTTTCTTATCCTGCAATATGAGATGACTTTTCACTCAGTCATTTTAATTACTGTGACTCGAGGATCTTCAGAAGATTAAATGGCTTTGTCTAGGTGAACTTCCTTACTAGGAATTCATGCGTTTCCCTTTTTATTTGAGGCCAATGCTCTGTTTGTCCACCGTGATGCTTTGCTTTGGGACCAGAAAAGTTTGATAATGCTGTCCACCTTCAGCCCTCCAAAAAAGAGTTTACTACTAAACAAGTAAATGACTTTTGAAACTATATGCAACTATTGTGTAAGTCAGTCTTTTCTGCTATATCACCAGTTCTTCCTGCACCACTCCACAAAAAACTACAATCCCTCCTGTGCACCATGCTCCCCTAAATACTTAAATACATTTGTTTACTTTTTATACAATGGTAGTGAAATAAGTTAGCATTGTTCTGAGAAGTTCATCATAATCTTTGACATAATTGGACATTAAACCTGGCTGAGCCAGGTTCATAGGTACTAACTTTATACCAAAGCATTGTTTCAATAACAAATTCTAAAAAATCATTTTATTGGGGGCTTGTACAGTTCTTGTCACAATCCATCCATCCATCCATGGTGTCAAGCACATTTGTACGTATGTTGTCATCATCATTCTCAAGTTTCTTTCTACTAGAGCACTTGGTATCAGCTCATTTCCCCTCTCTCCCACATTCCCTCCCTTACGACCCCTTAATAATTTATTTAAAAAAAACACTTTTTCATGTGTTACACCGACTGCTGTCTCCCCTCACCCACTTTTCTGTTGTCTGTGCCCCTGGGAGGGGTTATATGTAGATCATTATGATCCATCCACCCCATACCCTCCCACCCCCGCACTTTCCCCTTACCCTCCTGGTATTGCTACTCTCATTATTGGCCCTGAGGGATTTATCTGTCCTGGATTCCCTGTGTTTCCAGTTCTTATCTGTACCCGTGTACATGCTCTGGTCTAGTTGGATTTATAAGATAGAATTGGGGTCATGATACTGTGTGTGGGGGGCAGCAATAAAGAACTAGAGGAAAGTTGTGTGTTTCATTGGTGCTATACTGCACCCTGACTAGCTCATTTCTTCCTCGTGACCCTTTTGTAAGGGGATATCCAGTTGTCTAGAGATGGGCTTTGTGTCTCCACTCTGCCCTCCCCTTTATTCACATGGATATGATTTTTTAATTCCAGGTCAACTATTTTTTCTAATAACTTTTTAAAAAAAGAATTGGTCAAGAAAATTTAGTAAGTTTGTTTTCATTTATATGAAGAGACTGTTTCATTTTCCTTTGATACATCTACCTCCTTCTCCCAGATAACTAATAAGAAAATGCAACTTTGTGCATATTTCACTCTTACCCTTGAAAAAGATTAGTTGAAACATCTCATCTAGCACACATTATCTTCCGGAGGCCATGTCCAAAGTCAGAGAACTAGTTAGGGGTAGGATTGGTGTAAGAAACATAGGCTCTTAGGCTGTTGTTCCCCCGCTGTGTATATTAGATACTTTTTAACCATCTTTTCTCCAGTTGCCATTGTGATAATGGTGCATTTTTAAAAACTTCTTATTGTGAATTAGATGAAGGTTTTTAAATAGCTTAAATAGATCATCCATTGTATTTTTTTCTGTCTTTTTAAACTTTTTGTGTATTAGGTGAAGGTTTACAGAGCAAATAATATTTTACATTCAACAAGCCATATACATTTTTAAAAATTCGTACATACTCTGATTCAACTCATACATTATGATCAGTTCAGTGTACCATCACTTATCTTACTTCCTCCCTGTGCTTTCCTGTTTCCAGTCTTCTTCCTTTCCTAACCCCCTGAACTTTTTCCTTAAGTAAATGTTGCCTTTTTTTATCTTAAATAGTTGATTCTTCTAACATGGGGGTGAGTTCAGTTCCAGACCTGAAGGGTGACTAAGGGCAATGGTCTTGGGGGTTCTGCCAGTCTTTATCGACCAGTAAGTCTCTTTTATGATTTTTGAGATCTGCTGCACATTTTTCTCTCACTTCATCTGGGACCTCCTAATGTGATCCCTTTCAGAGTAGTAGCCTGGTATTTGCTTCTAGTCTCAGGGTTGTAGAGACTGATTTTTGTGTGGTCTATTTGATCCATTGGACTAAGTGATTCCATATGTCTTTCAATTTTCAATATTCTTCTTCACTCTGGACAGGGAGAGATCAATTGTTGCACCTTAGATAGTTGCTACCAAGCTTATAAGACCCTAATCACTACTCACCCAAATAGCACGTAAAACATTGTGAGTTATGTTATGCTGATTTATTTTGATGTCCCCAAGATAGAGTGCATTTTCAGCCTTGAAAAAAACTTGATCTGTTTATTCCCTCGAAACTTCAAGTGTATATATGTATGTATGTATGTGTGTGTGTGTATATATATACACATATATATATTTCTTTAAAAGTTTTTTTGTTTTTGCTGCTTTAATTTGAAGGGCAGTATGGACTGTTGTGTGATTGGACTGTTTAAGTCAGAGAGTTGGCATGTTTATATTGGAATGCGGAAGATATATTAAAATTTTAGACTTACAGAAGCTTCTTAAAATTTTTTTTAATTTGTTGAAACTTTGGCTTTGTTGTAAGACTTTTCATGTGTATGTTTATGACTTGATTTAAAAACTTATAACTGCTTGGCCGTGCTAACATTGCTGTAGATTAATCTGTTTTAGTTTGTTTGTAATATTCATATTTTATACTGTTGTTTTTTAATTTTATACTGTTCTTGAAATGATTAAGTTAATATATTTTCTATGTGCTTAAAATAAAATTATTTTCTTTATAGGACGCATGGGAATAAATTTCCATCATCCAGGAACAGATAATATTATGGCACTTAACAGTAAGTCTTCATATGAAATCTTTTATAAAATAAGTAGCCAATTTGGCAATATGTGGTTTGTAGTTTTATTTCATGTTTTTGTTTCTACATTCTTCATGGTTCATGACATTTCATTTTTCCACTGAGATCAGTATAAACCATTACTCTATACAGTGGTTCATCAGGTGTCCCTGGACAAGTAGCGCAGTATCACTTATAGTATAGCTTATTAAAAAAGCAAATTCTCAGACCAAGTACTCTAGACCTAACAATCATTTTAAGAGTGGGCACCCAGAAATTGTGTTAAGTAGTCTTGATGGTGATTCTGAAACAGGCTAAAGTTTGAGAATTGTTCCTATATCCAGGGGTTGACAAACTATGGCTCCCTAGGCTCAATCTGGTCTCCTGTCTGTTATAAATAAAGTTTTATTGGAACACAGGCATACCCATTCATTTTCATGGTATCTGAATACTTTTTTTTTTAATGACTGCATTTCACCACAGTGGCAGAGGTCATAAAGCCTAAACAATTTTGTAGCTTTTTACAGAAGATATTTGCTAATCCTTGCTCTATCCAGTGTTTTCCAAAGTGGGTAATACCACCCCCTGAGGGTGCTAGAACAATCCAGGGGGGTTGCAAAAGCAGATACCTACACTTTATCCCAGATTATGGATTATAGTACAAAAGTCTTTAATTGCATGGGGGGACCAATGCTGAGTAATTTTTTCTGAAAAGGAGTTAACTGAGCTAAATACGTTTGAAACCTCTGCTGTATTCCATTGGGATAAGGAAAGGAAAAAGAAAGATGACATGAAAAAGGAGAGGGACAGAATACCAACAATGAAGTCAATTTATACATAATCGGGATTTTCTCATTGTGGTATGTAGCCCTTAGGTATTTCAAGCAGGATATCCCAGGGGTTCCATTATTGCAATTTGTGTAAAGTAGATGTTATCAGCTTTGCAGCTTAGAAACCATTTTATCAATATAATTATTGGATCAAGTTTTAGGGCCTCACAAGTTCATTAAGCAGAAAGCCATTATATAAATTAGCACTGGAAGACATATCTGACTGAGCTAGCATCCCTTCTCCGTGTGTATAAATGAAATGACTAGAATGAACCAGAAACTCTCCAAAGGCACTGCCGGAGAGTCTGCTCTGATTCATAGCCACCCTATTGAGTAGAACTGCCCCTGAGGATTTCCCAGGCAGTAGATTTTTTTTTTAATTAAAAGATCATTTTATTGGGGGTTCTTGCAACTCTTACTACAATTCATACATCAATTGTATTAGACATATTTGTACATATATTGCCATCTTTCTTTTCTAGACATTTACTTTCTATTGAGCCCTTGATCAGCTCCTCTTTTCTCCATCCTACCCCCCAATGTCATGGCCCCTTGATAGATTATAAATTATTATTATTTTCATATCTCACACCAACCGTTGTCTCCCTAACCCTCTGATTTCTGTTGTTCTTCCCCCTGGAGCTGGTGTGTGGTTATGTGCCAGTTGTTGCCATCACTTCCCCCTTCCTCCCCTTCTCTCCCTACACTTTTGGTTTTGCTATTTCCATTCCTGTTGCTGGATTCCGTGTGTCATGAGCTTTATTTCTTTATGGGAGCAAAAAGTCTCATCTTTATCCCACTAAGCCAGCAAGGCTCCTTGTAAATGGACATTCCACAAAAAACAAACACACCGCTGTCAATGTTGACTTAAAGCATCCATATTCAAACTATTGATCTCTCAAGATTTAAATTTTCTCCCCTATCAAATGAGTCACATGTTGTCTTTTTTCAAGTGCTCAGCTACTAACTGAGAGTTTGGGAGTTTGAAACCCATTTAGTGGTTGAGCCAGGAGAAAAACCAAGTGATCTGCTTCCATAAAGATTACCACCAAAAAAGATCATATAGGACGCTTCTGCTCTATTACGAGAGATCCTTCTGAGCTGGAGTTGACTCAGTAACACCCAACAGCAATTTTTCTTTCTTGAAGTAAATAGATTGAGGTGGGGATTAATAAATGAACCGTTTAGCCTGTTGAGCTTCAACAATAATTACATTGTCAAAATGCTTAAGTTCCATGAAGAAGGTTAGAGGACTGACTCTAAAAGTACTGTTGATGTCTTCTGGAAGACAGAAAATGAAGCAGAGGATAGTATATAAACTATGGAAAACACAGTAATTGTCAGTAAACTGACAGGTATGTAGGGTGTAGAAAACCTGACAAGGTTTGCATAAAGCCAAAATATTTATTTTTGTTGTTGTTCAAGACTGTGAATCTAGTAAGAATGAACAGATCACCTTTTGAAAAGGAACCTAAGAAACACACCTAAGTTTTTACTTTGCCCCAAATATTTAGGTTGTCAAGTATTATAAAATATAGAAAAAGAAGTAGAGGAAAGAAACTGTGATCCAACAATAACACCTACCTCTTGTCAATATTTCCAGAATAAAGTTATGAAGTAATATACCCCTTCATTTAAAAGGATAGTATAAATTTTTTTAAAATTAAAAAATGGATGGTATAACTTTATTAATTTTTAATACTAACATCTATTACTGTTTCATTAGCTTTACTTCACACCAAAGCACTAGTTTTTATAGCATATATTTTAAAATTTTTCTTGTTGGAAGAGAAGGAACCTATTAAGAAGGCTTCTAGCTACCTACATAGTAGTGGCTCCATTAGCTATATTTGTTTAATACAAACAGTAGCTTGTTGGTTGAGTTGTTTTTTGTTTTATTTTTAACACTAGAATTGAGTTTGGCAGCTGTGGACTTTTATAGGATAGATGCTTGCGGAAAAAAAAAAAAAATAGTGCGCAAGGGGCCATATCTAACCTTCTTTGGCTTCCTTACTGCCACAAACTAAAAATCAGATATCCCTCCATCAACCATCTTTCTGACACCAACACTCTCCCATAATCCTCTACCTGGCTGTTGGGTTTTATAATTTGTTGAAATGGCCACAAAGAACTCACAGATAATGCTGACAATTACCGTATATACTCATGTATAAGCCGAGTTTTTAGCACTTTAAAAAAAATACTTTTATTGGGGGCTCTTACATCTCTTATCACAATCTATACATTCATCCAGTGTGTCAAGCACATTTGCACATATGCCGCCATCATCATTTTCAAAGCATTCTCTTCCCACTTGAGCCCCTGATATCCCCCTCCCTCCCCAGTCCGCCCTCCCTCACAAACCCTTGATAAGTTATAGATTATAATTTTCATATCTTACAGTGTCCTCCATCACCCCGCACCCACTTTTCCATTATTTGCCCCCCTGGGAGGAGGTTCTAGATTGATCCTTGTAATCGATTCCCCCTTTTCTTCCCCCACTCTTCCCTAATCCTCCTGGTATCTCTACTCTTCTTGTTGGCCCTGAGGGGTTTATCTGTCCTAGATGCCCTGTGTCAAGGCTCTTATCTGTAGTGGGGTGCATGCTGTGATATAATCCAATTTTTAAGGTAGAGTTGAAGTCATGATAGTGGGGTGAAGGAAGCACCAAAGAGCTAGAGGAAAGTTGTGTGTTTCATTGGTGCTATACTGCACCCTGACTGGCTCATCTCTTCCCTGTGACCCCTCTGTGAGGGGATGTCCAATTGTCTACAGATGGGCACTGGGTCTCCACTCCATGCTCCACCCCTCACCCCCATTCACCTTGGGTATGGTTTTGTTCTGGGTCTCAGATGCCTGATAACTGATCCCATTGACACCTCATGATCACACAGGTTGGTGTGCTTCTTCCATGTGGGCTTTGTTGCATCTCAGCTAGATGGACGGTTATTTATCTTCAAGCCTTTAAGACCTCAGATCCTTTCTTCACCACATTTGCTTATGCACCCATTTTGTCTTTAGCGATTGTGTTGTGAAGGTTCAGCACATTTTTTAAAGCAGTTTTTGTGGTAAAATTAGGTGCCTCCACTGATATTTGGGCTGGCTTATACCCTAGTATATATGGGTTTCTTAGAGAAGTTAGCTCATTACTTTAAGTGAAAATTATTTCTCAGCCAGCAGGCAAGTCTCATCCTCAGCCTCTCAGTCACATTAGTCCTTTGTTCTCTGCCTCCTTGGGCTAGGAAGCCCATGTGCTGTTCTACCTCAAAATGTCAGTCTTTGTGCTGCTTCTCTGCTTTGTCTCCTGGTCTCCTTGCCTTGGTTTCTGGTGCCTTTGAACTTGGCCTCTGCCACTTTAGACAGAGATCTTAAACATGCTCCACATTATGATGGTCCTGATATTTCTGTGTGGCCTGCTTCAGAGATGGCTCTTATAATGGCTTTGATGGAGGTGTGGTGTTTGTCTTTCAGCAGATTATATCCATCCGAGGCAACAAAAGGGTGGTGGCTTGGTTTACATCCTCTACTAAACTGGAGACTTAATCCTGTGCATTAACAAAATAGAAAACAAAAAACTCAGTGACATCAACTCAATTCTGACTCATTAATCCTGTAGGACAGGGTAAAACTGCCCTGTGGGTTTCCGAGACTAACTCTTTATGGGAATAGAATGCCTTGTCTTTCTCCCACAGAGTGGTTAGTAGTTTCAAACTGCTTACCTTGAGGTTAATAGCCCAATGTGTGACCACTGGACCACCAGGGCTCCTGAAAAACAAAGAACTTCCTCCAAAACAGGATTATAGCCACAGACACAGAAGCCAGAATTTATAATACATCACATAAAGGATTATGGCTAGGAAACCAAAATCAAACTCATTGCCAACTAATTGATTCCAATTCATAGCGATCCTAATGAACAGGGTAGAACTGCTTCTGTGGATTTCCAGTACTGTAAATCTTCACAGTAGTAGAAAGCCTTCAGTCTTTTATATCTGGTGACAGAATTCTGGTTTCCAACAGCTGACCATGTGACTAGCAGCCCAACGCATAACACATATTAAATGTCTGACTTCATATACACTCCTTTACTCTATTGGTCTTCATAAAAGTTTATTGTTGTCTCGATGATTGGCCAAGTGAACCAAATTTATAATCAGATTAATGTTAAAA